ACCTCTGCCAATATAATATGGTCTTTCCCAACCGTAACTGCCACTTTTGCTGGATAACTTGGACTGTTACAGGAAGAGAAAAAATAACAGATCTACTGCCAGGTCAACAAGTAATAAAACTACGAAGTTACAGGGGGACTATTGTGATGATACTACTGACAGATTATAATACATATACTGTATATACATATATTTCTGATTTTGCCCATAGTTACATTTTCATTAAATAAGGCAGTACAAAGATCATTGATGTGCAAAGTTTAGAAACACGTAGCAACCAATCAGACTAAAACAGTTTAAAGCAGATTCATTGCTAAAATGTTTCTCCTTATTGCACTTTTCACATCACTCTTTACCCAATAAAGAAAAAAAAAATAGTAGCAGATAGCCCCTTATATAGGTTTAAGCTCAGTACATGAAGAAATATATTACATGGGGAAACTGATTTTTTTTTACTCCATGTAGACTTTGTTTCTATTGATTGTACAGCCTTTTTCTTTATATAGCACAGATCAGGCAGCTGTTGACTGTGACCAGCAAACCTTGTTCATAATACAATAACCTATAACAATATAGGACTGTCTTTTGATAAAGGTATATAAGATTACCTCTACAAAATATATACGCTACCTTGAGCACCTGAACTCTCAAGGTATTTTTCTTTTTATTTCCTCTAGCCGTATTTACACAGAAAAAAATAACCTTTTGAAATAATAAAAAAATAATGTGTCCAGACGGAGAGAATGTCATATTGCCTAGCACTCGTTTGATCGCTTCTGCTTTTGAAATTAAAACGTCGATGCCCTTTACAATTGGTTTTTAACTGAAACCGATGCCTGTACCTTTCATTTTGGTTGTTACAATTTGTAAACAAATGTCTAACGATAACACAAGCTGGTCAGAAAAAGACAGAAGGGAAAAAACAAAACAAAAAAACAAACAAAAACATTGGGCTAATGAAGAGCAGCAAGCTCCGTTTTTCCAGTAAACACCCGCAGCTGTTTTCTGAAACAAATGGCAATATTAAACTCAGCTACAGATCTACTTTGGTCAATCACTCTGCTTAACAGAAGAAGCAAGTGACATGTAAAGTGACACACCAATTGACACGTATTTACAAAACACCACAAATATAACCTACATGCCATCCAAAAGTATAAGTTAGCAGATGTTCTTGAAGGCTTTCTTCTCGAGAGGTAGGTGATGTCGATGTGACATGAACAAAACCTGTTTCCATACCATCACCTACTTGCTGAGGTTCCGCATGATGTTCTACGCTGACGTTCGAGGTCTGCTGGACAGCCCGAATATATTGTCTTAAAGGGTATCTCCCTTTGAGGCCCGTATTCTGTAGAGCCCTTACGTTGTTTGAGCTCATACAAAACCTTAACTAAACCTTAACATCTGTCTTGCTAGATCTACTTATACACAGTTGTTAGAACTGTGTCGTTGAAGACAACGTTTATCCTTTGGTTAACACTTCTTGAGTAAGCACTGCTTAAATGCCGATGGTCTTTGAGAAAGTAGACATCCCTTTGCCAACTTCCCTTGTCCATCTTGGCACTGGACAGTTCTGGTGTGCCAGCCCGTGTCACATGTTCTAGAGCAGGAAAGCCACGGGCCGGTCACCCACTGTGGCTGATTACTCTGGGGAACAACATTATTGTTTATGGTGTTTGTGGTGGTACTTTGTTTGGCCGGTACAAAGAAACTATAGCGTACATCTAAAGGTTTAGCCATATCAGTTGCTAGAATCTGTACGATGAGCACCTCCTTGGTGGCTGAATGGCCCATACTATGGAAGGAATCTTCGGCATGGCTCCAACCGCTATAGTTCATGGCAAACCCATTTGTTTCGATGACAGTCTCAGAAGTAGAGATCATGTATTTCCCATTGATGACATACTCTCCTGTCTTCTTTTTTAATGCCATGTAAGCTGTAAACTTGGTCTGATCTTTGGCCTTGTATTGCTTCACTTTGATATGGGTAGCTCCCTCTGGAATTTTTACAATATCCGTGTAACCTTTGCTGTAAAACAAACAAGAGGAGAGATATTAAAGAGACTTCCTTTACTGTATATATTGACCAATGCTCTAAAATTAAGGGCAAATGTAGGCTTTTCAGAGGTTTTTCTTATAAATATTTAGATGTCATCAACTTAGCAATCTATTATTAAGATATGTTACTACTTTAGAAAGGGCCAGCTAGGGTTTGGATCTTCTTTATGGGGCCAATCACACTCTTGAATTGGTTGTAATGCACATTACATTCATGGGTGGACTGCTGCACCAATGCTTGCCTAATGTGCTCTGCGTTACAGTTCCCTAGCAGAAAAGATTAACGCACCATTCTGAGTTTTGGTGTATTAGGCAGCCCATTTAAATGCAGATTAACAACACAACACAGGTTAACAAGCAGCATAATGCACATTAATGTGTGTGTGCTAATGCACCGCAATAGTGTGAATTGGCCCTTCAATTGTGATTCCACTTTTGCAGCCAAATTGGGTTAACATCTATTTTAGATTTATTCCCACATATATAGCACAACTAAAATCATGAACATTGCTGCTTCCATGTTACTTGTTTTCTCATATTACTAGCTTTATCTAAATTGAAATTTTCTCTGGAATGCAAGACAGGTTGCTTAAATGAAACCAGTCTATACTGTACTGCCGGATCTCATCATCAGTGGTACACTAGATTTGAACTATGTCTGTCCTAACAAAGGGTTAAAGATCTAGGATCATTCTGTGTTAATGAGAGGAAGCTCAGAGTGTCCCTAGTCTTTCTATGAGGACAGCCAACACTTCCTGTCACTTTTAAAATGTACAGAGAAGATTGTACTCTGTCCAAAGGCCTGTTATACAGAGACATCTAAAAGGGGATGAGGGGAGATGAGGGGAGCGGCAGAAGAGCTCTGCCAGCACAGAGAATAATTTGACAGTCCCAGAAGGTGGGAGGGGACTGTGCAAGAGAATTCACTCCTGTATTGTATTCCAAAATTCTAGCAAGGCACATTGCAGGTGAATAAGAAATTGTTTATGGAAAGAAAAAAAGTTGCGAATAAGCATTTAAAATGCTTGATTTTTTTGTGCTTTTACCTGCAATATGTAAAGTTGCTGTCAGGGTCTCTTAAACATTCTAGCCCGGGATGCGTGTGCCACTCATTAGTTCATAAAAGAAGTCACCAGCACTCGATGATATTTGCAAGAAATAAAGCACTTTTTATTCAATCGTCACATGCGTCAAACAGCCAATGTTTCGAGGCCACGCAGGGTCCCTTCTTGGGGGCCTGCGTGGCCTCGAAACGTTGGCTGTTTGACGCTTGTGACAATTGAATAAAAAGTGCTTTACTTCTTGCACATATCATCGAGTGCTGGTGACTTCTATTATGGACTGTATCTGACATGGCGCCATCCGTGTTGTCACTTCAAGCACCAACCTTTCATCCAAGGTCTGCACGCTGTATGGAGTGCAGGTGATTTCGTATTATCGATTGCCACTCATTAGTGTCTCCGCCTATAGTGTTGCACAGATTTTCCTTGTCAACCACTGGCCTTATCGTTTCCTTATCAATGCCTTATCAATGCCTCTGGACTTGATAAGATTGGTAAAGCTCATGATGAGAGAAGGGTGATTAGGGCTGTAGAAAGGCACTATAGTCCAAGGAGAAAAGCAAAGTCCCACAGTGGGCAGAAGTAGAACTTTTAGGAAAATTGGTTTATGCCAACACTCCGATAAACGTTTTGTTGACTGCTGGCTTTATTCTCCTGCTCATTGTCAGCTGTAATAACAAACTATATTTGATTTATTTCAGGTATTTACATAGCACCGATAATTTACACAGCGCTTTACATAGTGCACATTCACATCAGTCTCTGTCCTTAAGGAGCTTACAATCTAAGGTCCCTATCTCACATACACAGGAGGGCCAATTTAGACAGGAGCCAATAAACCTACCAGCATGTCTTTTGAGTGTGAGAGGAAACCGGAGAAAACCCACAGGCAGAACATGCAAACTCCTTGAAGACAGTGTCCTAGCCGGGATCCAAACCAGGGACCCCTAGTGCTGCAAGACAAAAGTGCTAATCGCTATGCCACTGCGCTGCCCTATATCTGATGCTTACAACCTCATCCGTAACCCTAGCTACAACTATCAGTTTGGTGATATCTGTATAAAAAAACACATAAATATATTTAATTTCTGCCACGACAAACAGGGTAATCATGCAGCATATCAAGCGTAGAAAATAATAACATTATCTCCCTTGGACTATTTATACTTGACAAATATGATTCTATGATTCCATTTCCAATTCCCTGCCAACATTAACTTCCTGCGGAGAATGCTGCTGTTTTGCTCACTTCAACATAACTAGACAATATTCCTGATTTCATCCTGTACGGGATGAGCTGTTTCCTCTTGCAGATCATTGCTTCCCCGCCGCTAGAACTGAGCTGGGTTTACAGCACAGTTGACGTGAATGTTTTTAGCATATAGGACGCTGCGTTTGATCTTTGGATCTTAACGAGGGGCTTTTTTGGCACAAAATAAATTCTTTCAGTGGAGGGCTTTGAATTTTGTCAAAAGGGCCAGTTCTGAATTATTGATCCGCTCCCGTCTCATGTTGGATGTCAGCCTGCTTTATTGCACATTGCTTTTTTGGTATCCCGCGATCAAGAGCTTGATATTGCTGATGTGTGTTATGTGCAGACGGCTCAGAAGACTCTTCGTGGCCCCAAAATCCCCTGACCTGCTGCTAGCCAAATGCTGCCTCTTTTGGATCTTATATACAAGGAGATATGCATGGGGACTGTCATCAGCTGTGATCAAAGGGGAACTTAATTATTAAGACGGAATCCAATTGAAAAGCAGCCTAGGGTTTTAAAATTAGGGAATGTTGCAATCACCACATACAACAAATGAACACTTTGGCTACTTCTTCATATGACACAGAAGCTAATATTTGATCCTGAACATTGTGTGCCTGTGTACATCGCCTTCAATATTTCATGGTGACTGACAGCACAGCTTACTCAAACAAAAGACTAGGCAATACTCTTTATGCGGTTTCAGTCCAATTTTTTTAAATTCTTCCATTTGCAACTGACTAGAGCAGGGGTAAGCAACCATGGCACTCCATCCATGGTTGAACTATTTATCCCATCATACCTCTGCTTCTGGGAGTCATGTCTGTGGACGTTAGAGTGTTGTAATGCCTTAAGCTGGCCATACACCTATAGATTATCTGCAGATTTTCTATGGTCCGATGGAAAAAGTGCAACAGGTTCCTCCATCTACGCTAAACTGTGTGGATGGAGGAATCTCCCACTGTGCCAAGCTTCGGTATCTTGCTAGTCGGCCCCGCTGTCTGTCAAATACCTGAACAATCTGATTGGATGCAGGCATTGTTCAGGTATTTTGAGAGCCAGCGGGGCCGACTGGCAAGATACTGAAGCTTGGCCCAGTGGGAGATTCCTCCATCCACACAGTTTAGCGTAGATGGAGGAATCTGTTGCAGTTTTTCCATCTGACCACAGAAAATCTACAGATAATCTATAGGTGTATGGCCAGCTTTAATGGACTTGTAGTTCCATATCAGCTTGCGTGCCAAGGTTGCTGGAGCACAAGACCACCATACACTGCAGTATTTTTTTAAAAATTAGGTTGCTGCTTAGATGTAAATAGTGCTTAGTTGAATTTGCAAGCTGCCATGACAATACACAAAGTGTAGTAACCCTTGACAACCACGCAAAACTATTAGTTGAGCAACTCCTATGTATTTACTCCTGGACATACTCCTGCCATGCCCCTAGTTATGTGGACTATTAAAAATAAATATGCCAAAAGGATTGGTTAAACCCAGAATTGTTTTTTTTTTTTTTCACTACTAGCTAGACTTTTCAAAACAGCAAACAAGATAACTAAGAGATAAGATGAAAGTTATACTTTTGGTAGTTAAATAGAACCTTTTCATATATATCTGTACATCAGACCAAAAAGAGGCACAAATGAGGAGGGACAGAGGGATTTGGTTTTAAATGAGGGACAGTCAAATGGTGTCACTAACCCAGGGCCAGTGCTGCCACTAGGCAAACTAGGCAGCCGCCTAGGGCGCACTGCTGCCTAGAGAGCAGTCTCGATCACTCACCGCCCCCCCCCCCCACCCCATTGCACCCTCCGTCTATTTCAAATTGCAAAAGCCAATATAAGGCTGGCTATTTGCACTCACCCACTTAACAGAGGAGCGGAACTGAGAGGCAACTTTTTTTATTTCCACAATTTAAGCTTCAATGGTCTGTACAGACAATCTGCCTTTTTCATTAAAGCTGGGGGTTTAATTTTTAAAACAATGGTATAATGCATGTAGCCCTTTTATACAAGCCAGTTTTTTAATGTAACGCTGTTATAACTGGTTTTTCTTAATTTGCAGCCATCTATCATTTTCTGCAGCTGCTGACATCACATCCAAGATGGTGCCCAGCAGCACTTTTGGAAATTTTGCAAGTCTACACAAAGGAGGCATGCCAAAATTGTGTTAAATGCACATATTATCTTATGAGAGGATTATGATTGAAATGAATGGTCTTGTTACAGGGTCTCCTTATTGTATAGTCGACTTGAAAGTGAATATTTATTTCTTAACAAAGCAGAATTTTACATTACAGACACCCAAATGCCTAGAGCAGAAACCACTCAATCTTCCTCGCCCTGATCATCACTACTGCTTGATAAAAAATGTCTACCATCACATTGTCTAGGTCACAGAGACATTTTTATAGACAGGCTTTTATTCACACAATCCCTTCATGATTCCATGAAAGTGCACTTTATTTATAGACTAAATTATATGCATTCACTGGGGGGAAATTGCTAATTTCCTCCTAAAACAAACACTTCATAGGGTAGATATGATAACATTTAATATGCACTCCTGCTTTGTTTATGACTGGCGGCTCAGGAACACCCACTTTCTGGAAATTATCGCTGCAGACAAAGATGCAGAACGAAAACCTGAATAATCA